CAACCCTGTGGCTTTTTGCAAAGTGAAGGAGGGCTCGCACAGGAAATGACTGGCTAGATTTCTCAGTAGAGGGGAGAGCCAATGAGTGCAGTGCTCTTATATGGGAAAGCTGGCTGCCTATTGCAAATTCAGAATGCTTAACCCCTGCCTGCACACGGGGAGCCAGCACCTCGTGCCTCCCATGCCCAGCCCCATGAGGATGTCACAAGGCTCCCAAAGCCAGCCCAGCACAGGCAGAAGCGCCTGGGAGCAGCTGAGGCCAGGCTGGGTGTGGAAGCACAGCCCCAGTGACACAAACCCGGTGACCCCACCGAGTGCAGTGCCAGCTGCTCCTCATGGGCACAGAACAGCCCCAGATCCCAAATTCCCAGGCCACTGGTTACTTCATCTGCTCTAGTTATGAGCTAGAAAAATCTAGCTCATAAAAATCCCTGTGTTTTCTCCAAAGGAGAACAGTCTGGGAAAGGCTTCCCTTGGGAGCAGGGATGTCCCCTGTCCCCCCACCCCACCACTGACTGTCCTTGGGCCCACACACCCCAAAACTGCTTCACTTTCCCCTCACAAAACAGGACCCTGGGAAACAGAGGATATCATCCCACAGCACGAGTTCCAGCTCTCCCAAAGGAGGCTTTGGGATCCTTTCCTGCAGCACCAGTGCAGGCTGGCAGGCAGCACCCACTGCCTTGCCCCAAGGGATGCTGCTCCAGCAGTTCCCACCCAAACTCCTGATGCTTTACAAAGCCATTCATGTGATCTAGAGCTCAGCTAGGAAATCTTATTAATGAGCAAAATGGTGAAGAGCCCTTCCAACCAACACCTTGATAGTAGGGAGACATTCCAGGAGAAATCCCAGAAGTGAGGTGAACCCCTTGGTGGGTTTTTTGGAGAAGAGGTGTCACAGCACAACATCTGAACTCTGGCTGTGCCTCCCTTCTTCCGAACCTACCCTGAGACAAAGGAGAGCCTGGAGCAATCCTCATCCCACAGGAGTGCAGGATGCTGTGACACTTCCTTGGGATGTGATCCTCACCCACAGGGACTTTCCCAGATGTTTTCAGCTTGGATGCAGGCTGAGACCTCCCCATAAATACACCAGTTCAATGGCACCGTGCCTTTTCCCTCCTCGTGGTTTTGCAGGAGATTTTTCTCAACCTTATTTCTCAAGATTCCTGTGTTTAAAAATGAAGCTGGTTCCAGGGATAATACAAAGCTGCTTTTTCTTTCCATGATGGTTTCTTAACGATTTATTAAGACCATAGAACAGCCTATAAAGAAAAGATAAACGCAAGATCAGATCTAATCTCTCCAATGCCTCCCCCATGCCAGCCTTGCACTGACCTAGCTCAGTTTGCTTTAGCTGTGTTACACTTCATTTACTGCGATATCCACGGAGCTTCAGGCCCAGCTCAGACTTTTGGTTTTAAATCCTCTTGGGCTTCTTTCTCCAGCTTTCCTGGGAGGCATCCCAGCACTGCAGGCAAGGAATGAAATCAGGGAGTGCATCGTGACAGAGCCCTGCCTGCACATCTGCTCTGGGGCTGCAGGAGGGACGGGAAGGAGCAGCTCGCTGGGAAAGGAATCGCTGCCAGCTGAGAGGTCACCACAGCAAACAGAGCACACAAACAGCAGGAAGAAGAAAAGCTGCGACTTCATCTCACCTGACTGCCAGCCTGAGTTTTCCTCTGGCTTTTTGAGGCTTTTATGAAGGAATCTCACAAGTGCTCGTTTCACTCATGAAATGTGTCTGAGTTTCTCCTGACAGGAGAGGCACAGCCCATGGAAATCCGGGAAGAGAGAAGTCAAACTGCCAAGTGAAATTTCAAGTCAAGTGTTTTTCATTCAATAATATTATCAAATATATTCATTATTATAATTATAGATGAGCAATTCACAGCAGAAAAAGCAATGACTGGAACCTGCTTAAGCAAAAGGAAGCGTGAGGATGATGGTGTTGGGTGAACACAGAATATTTATATCAGGAAATGTTCTGGTTTGCATCTTTTCCAAAGTTCCCATCTTTACCAAACACTGAAAAATTTAACAGTCTTATGATTGATACCATGCTTTCAGTGTGCTGTAAATAGAAGCTCAAAGTCACTTGTAATTTAGTTACAGGATGGATCTGTGGCCACTCAGGTGAAGCAGCTCAAAATCATCCTCACAGGAGGAGGAAAACCTGTAATAACAACATGAGTGGGTAGAAAAGGAAAATTCTCTCAAATACAACAGGTAGGCCAGCAAAAGAAAAAAATAGTTTCTTTTAAAGGTGTATTTTCACACTTGGGAAAATATCAAGTGTTTTTGTAAGGCGTTTTTTTTTTCTTTTTTTTCCCCATGTAGTAGTTTTTTTTTTTTTTTTTTTTAAAGTTGTGCATGAAAGTGATAAATTTGAGTAACTTCATTTCTTAGTTACAGATGGAAACCGGTGCCTCTAGAGACACCAGTGCCAGTGCCCAATCTGAAACATAAAATATTCTTCGATATAATCCCTTGTCAGAAGTTGTCTGATAGCCCAGGGAGCTCAATCAATCTACACAACACTATTTCTGGAGCTGCAAGTTCCACATCATAGCATTTGAAGGCTCCAATCTATATTTTTCTCAGGCCTTGGAGGGAACCATCCAGCTCTCTTATTCCTAAAATGGAAGTTTCTTTCTCCTTGATGTATCCCTTTCTGTAGGATCGCAGCCTGTAGGATCACAGCCTGTAGGAATGCTCTGCCGACAACCAAAGAGCAGCAAAAGAGGAAACCCAGAGCAAAAATAAGCTTTTTGTGGAGGAACAGTGACATCCTGTGGCCACGGAGGCACAGGAATTCCTGCTGCTTTTCAAACAGACAAATGGGGCAAAATCTTCAAAAACACCTTTGGTTGTTGTGGACAAGGCTGCAGAAATACTGAGGGATTTATTCCCAATATTTACTTGCCCTAACCCTCACTTTCCCTGCAGGATTATGTTGTGGGGCAGCTGCGAAAGGAGAAAACCCCAAAGGTATCCAAACCCAGTATAATTGGCTATTTAATGTCTCTTTTTATAGGCATAAGTAATTTTTTTTTTAAAGCACAGAAGACAAATCCCCAGAATTTTGGCTGGTTTTTCTTTCTGGGGTTCTGTTTGATTTTTTTTAAGGGAGAGCAGACTAGAAATTAACTAATGCAATACGAAAAAAATTCAAAGGCCAGTCACAAAACTCAGATTACAGCAGGATTAAAAGATATTGCCAGAATCTGTGGTAAATATGGGACCGTTAAGATTATTCTAACAGCATTGAGATTCTGGCTAAAACCTATTGAATTCTTGTTTTTGTTATGAATAGTTGTCTCTGAGCAGAATTTTGAGGTACCACTGTATTTTAGGGATAAAAAAAAGAGTATACTTTAACACCATCAATCATTTGTATTGCCTGATATCTTACTTTGTTTTACGCTAATAACTTCGGTGTAAACACTGCATGTTACACAAATTCCATATTCACATTTCTTTGTGATTCATATACATTTCCCTAATTCATATAGTTTACTTAAATTGCAAGGATTTTTTTGTTATTAATGAAGAAATCCTTGCAGTCATTTCCTGGACCACCCCAGGCACAGTTCAACACCAGTTTGGCTCAGGCCAAAAACCAGAGGTTTTGTGCAGAACCCTCCTGTCACCTCTGGAATGTCAGATTATTCAGTGCCCACCTCAAACCCCAAAGATAAAAATCAGGAATGTCAGATTATTCAGCACTTTTGTGGGACTCTGAACTGCTCAGGGACTTCGGACAGGGCTGAACACAGAGCAGGGCTAAAACACCCAGCCCAGAGAGAGGCTGGGAGGGACATTTGAGGTCACCCTGCCCAACCAGGGCCACCCCAGGTGGTTGCCCTCAGTTATTCCCATGGTTCTCGTCCATGGCCTTGCAGTTCCTCACAGGGAATTGCCTGCACAGCCTCTCTGGGCACCCTGCCACGTGCTTAAACTGCAAAAAGCACAAAACCAAGAAAGCAATTGCAGCAAAACTCGAACTAAGGGAAGTCTCTTCTTGCAGAGACAGCAAATATTTATTGAACTTTGTATTTCTGCTAGCTCAGCAGACATAAATGCAAGTCCTGCTCCTAAAAAAAAATTAAACCTGATCACGGATATAACCCTTAAACCCACACTGAATTTGCCGTGTGCAGTATTCTATGAGAACAGCAACTTTTTGGTTTAGTTTCTCATTAAGTGCAGCACTTACCACAGATGCTCAGTGATTATTTTCAAAAGGAACAAACCAACTTCCACAGCAGCACTCCAGGGGTAAAGGGAACCAAGGTGGTTCCTAACTGAGTTTTTGGGGTAAAGTGAGTACAGCAGCACAGGGTGTGGGCACTCAGAGGGGCCAGGAGCCCCATTTCACGGCAAGCAGCTGTCAGAATTCAACAGGAAACAGCCTGCCAGCCACTCCGGGATTTTGGGGAAGAGCATGTGGATATTGCATTCCTTTCCGTGTTTTTGGGGAAGGGCATGTGGATATTGCATTCCTTTCTGAACACCCACCACTGCACTTGAACCAAACCAGCCCAACCCCACTTTTTTGAGTTTCCTTAACCCACCCCATAAAAAACAAACCCAAACCCAGCTAACCCAGACTTCAGTGTGAAGTCCCTCCCTCCCGTTTGGGCACTAATGGTTGTGTAGAACTTACCAAATCTGCCGGTTCTAACTCTGTTCAGTCACCTATTCCAAGTTTCACATTCCCACCCACCACACAATTCCCATTGTGACCAGTCCTCCCCTAGACCCATGTGCCCAAAAAACACCCCCACCCACAAAAGGTCCCTTCAGAGCAGTGCCAGGCACTGGAACCCCTCACACCCACCCTCAGGGCCAGCAGAGACCACTTAAACACGCTACAAGTCCAGAACTTGCAGCAAAACCCACCCCACGTGCAATGACCACCACACCATTTTGTGAGGTCTTCAAATCCCACCTGGAAGCAGAGTGCTGCTAAAATCTAGGAAGAAGAAACAACATGGTATTATTAGCACTTCATTAAGAGTTTAATCCAGATCCATTTTAACCACAAGGTTGGTCCTCATCATACATGCAAAGAGGTTTAAACGGCCATGGTAAGAAGCCAAAGCATTTCACTTAATACACCAGTTTCACCTGCTTGAACTGAGACAGACTACAGGGTGTAATGTGCAACAGAAAAGTTTATTAGCATTTCAACAGACAGTTGTTCAGCAGTTACTCAAGCTTGCATTAACCTTGCATTAACTTAATATTAAGACATTGAAGAACTACAGTGCAAACACAAGTGCCACTGGCAATCCTGGTGTCAAGCAAGATACACAAGAACTTAACAGCCACCCCTGAGGCGCAGCACCAGGTGCAGGGTGGATTCTTTCTGGATGTTGTAGTCGGACAGGGTGCGCCCATCTTCCAGCTGCTTGCCAGCAAAGATCAGCCTCTGCTGGTCAGGAGGGATTCCCTCCTTGTCCTGGATCTTGGCCTTGACGTTCTCGATGGTGTCACTGGGCTCGACTTCCAGGGTGATGGTCTTGCCAGTCAGGGTCTTGACAAAAATCTGCATCCCACCTCTGAGACGCAG